TAATTTAAGTTTTAATCATAATTGTAACCAAAAACATTGTTAATTGTAGAAAGTATCTTTTGAATGCCTGCTGATGAGGGACAAACAAGTTCGAAACACAAGTTTAAAGTGTACGTGTTCAGGTGAATTAAATAAAAAATGTTTTTTCTGATCTGTAAGACTAAGTTTCTGCATCCATAAATCCAGTATAATAAGTCCTGTTAATTGATATTGTACTAGTATACAAAATAAATTTTAAATCAAGATAGAGACACAAAGGCACAATAATTAGCGATGAAACAAATAGTATATTTGGCAGTTTGTTTCGTCCGATGGTTCTTTTCAGTTTTTAATACTTGTAGACATAATTCGCCCATATATTTGTCCTCAGGCCCAATACTGAATATTCGACCAAATTATTCAACTTGATTAATTTAATTAATTAATGCACATACAAAAATTGGTGCGCAAACCACATTATGGCAAGGATTGCGCACCCTGCTCTCTATTGGCCTGCTTTAACTACGCTTTACCAATCACATAATTCTTGATAGTTGTAGTGGACAGACATGAGCATCATGGCAGTATGCGATAAATGATGATATCAAATATGGATAACAATGAAATTACCTACATGTGTAAATAACGGAAAAAGAATAGAGAAGGACTGCGAAGTGAAAATGTGAAAATAAATATGAAATTAAGTTGATAACATAATCGAAAACGTTGAGGCAGCTTATTAGCGCGAAATTCGCGGCCGTCAATGCCAAATAATTGTTCTCATAAATTTCGGAAAGCTAAATGCTTGTAATCAAAGTCACTTAGCATGCACGGGCAAAACCCTGGGGCCATTCAGACTAACTGAAGTTCCAGACAAGCTGTCTGGAACTTCAGTTATGATAAATAATTTTCTACAATGAAACAAAAAAGTTAATTTAATTTTCAAGTTTATAATAAGGGATGATTTCATAAAAAAGCTCTACAGATCATTAATTATTATTATTATTTTCACATTTTATGACCTAAGTTTCGATCTAATGTGCCCACGCAGTAAAAATTTTCATACAAATTTTTTACCCTTTTCACCCCTTTAGGGTTGAATTTCATAAAATCTTTTCATAGCACACCTAAACTTTACAAAAGAAACACACCCTCAAATTTTTCAGTTTCTAGCATCAATAGTTTTGGCTCTGCGTTAATTATCCTATCAGGACTTGTTCTTTTATATACGAGTATATAGATGACTAAACTACATAATAAGCAGGTAGTTTTCATTTGATTTGTTACCTTTTTTTGATCACTTAAAAAAGTAACTTAGTTATATTACTTTCCTTTAATCTTTTACATAAATAAGCAAAAAATTGCACTTTCTCGAAATTGAAATGTATGTTCAGTATTAATAAAAGATACCAAATGATTAATTTATTGTGTTTTTGATATTTCTTACTCCTTTTTTAGGTATTCGGTATTCGGCCAAATAGCGAAACATAGGCCAAATAGGCCGAATACCGAATAGTAACCAAATATTCATTGCATCATTAATAATAATTAATTTTACTGGTTATGTAGCATTTACAATTTTTTATATAATCCATCCCTACCTTCAAAATTAAGATTTTTGCCATTTTATAAAAATTAAAAATATAAAAAATTATTAACAACAACATATCATAACAGATGGTGCCACACATGCAGTTTTAAAAGTTGCTGGGAAAGTTAAGTAACTCATTGCTAACTTTTTTCGATATGCATATATATTGTATATTTCTAGAGTACATTTAAAAACCTTCACCAGCAACTCATATAATTATGAAAACTTTTGATTTTCATAATTAAAATAGTTGCTGGTAAAGGATTTTAAATGTACCATTAAGTGTAACCAGTTAAGAATATTTTTCGTCATATTTCTACAGTGCTGATAATTATATAATACTAAATTAATATAGTGTTTTCAAAATGCATTTTGAGATTAGGTACTGAAAAATAAATCCAAAAATTGAGAATAAATTCATTTGGCAAGATTTACATTATTGTGGACTTCCAAATTTTATGGCTGAAAGTTAGAAAATGTTAAAAGTTACATGATATAAGACAGTGGTTCCCAACCTTTTTTCATTAGCGTACCCCGTGACATGTCATATTTCTAGATTGTACCCCTCATTTAAGAAATTTAGTGAGTACCCGTATTGTTAATTTTACATATTGTAACTTTAAATTAAAGAAAAAAAAGTAAATGAAAAAATGTATAATAAAGTTGTGATTGTTGCAAGGAACATATTTTACCTAATAATTTTTTAATACTATTAGTTTGTGATACATAATATATTATTTTTTCTGCCATAATAACTAACTTTTTTCTGTACCCCTAAACAACCTATCGCGTACCCCTAGGGGTACGCGTACCACAGGTTGGGAATCGCTGATATGACATACAAAATTATTAATAAATGTAATACATAATAACATTCATTTTGGAATTAATTATGTATTTCTTGTTACTCAATCAATGTTTAATAGATTTTTAAAATTTTTTAAAGAAAAAATGTTATAATTTACTGTTCAATAAAATGATCCTTATCATTTTTCAATATATTGTAAAAATATAAAAAATATTTTGACATCACATTAGAGAAGTAATCACAGAGCTTTTAAAACATGTAATAACATCCCAATTAACCAAGATCTGTTCAACTGAGATTCTGCATTATCCAAAGTAAATTGTAGAAGACTACTTTGTCAAGAAAAACAAGAATCTAGTACAATAGTTTGTTTCACAAATCTTTGGTCATATGACACACACAAGTTTTTTAAAAAAATTCATTCTGGTGACTTCTCATAATACAAGTTTTAAAACACATTAAAGAAATTTTAATTGTAACTGTAGATTTACTCTAGCTTTCATAAATACTGTCATAAATAAAAAGTACTTCATTACATAATTTAAAAGTCATTATGACAATAAGTAAGTATAAATATGAAAATACAGTACATTTTACAAGTTAATGCATATAAATTCAGTTTTTTTAAAAATAAATTACCAAATAGTCCATGTTATTAGAGTTTTTAATCATCCAAGGCACCCTGGTCCACATTACCTTGGATAACTGTGAGGTAATGTAGACCAAGGTACCTTGGATGAATATTTTCATTGACTTGAAAGCAATTTTACCTTGGGTAATTCACAACTACCCAAGGTAAAATTGCTTTCAAGTCAATGAATGAAAAGATTTCTATTCAGAAATTGAGTTTACATGTGTTCACCACTTTCCACTTCTAATCAAAACTGGGCTACAGGAAATTGACAGTAAAGTTTCTTTTATCACATATTGTTTAGGATATTGTTAATATAAGGATGATATTGGTTATCTAGATGCCTAAAAACAATCAGATCTTGTTTTACTTTACAGATTCCGACTTCTGTAAAATTTTGTATTAAGTATATCCATTAGAGAAACTTCATTCTTCATTTTATGTTTACTTTGCAATGCAAAATTATTTTATTTTGAATTAAATTACTGATTTTTGACTATCCTCTATAAAAAACAATTTTAAATTTCTAATGTTATCTTACTTACATGAAACTTTTTACATATATTGTTCATTTTGTGGAAATAATCTAGTCAATATTAAATACTTAATTACCAAATATTACCTGGTTATAATTTTAAATTATAAATAAAGAATTCATGTAGCAAGCACATTTGATTTTTTCCCCCAGTTCCTGAAGATAGGCATTAATCTGAAAACGTTCAAATCATTTTTCTATATCATTATTTAATCCAAAGAAAGTAAGTTAGCATTATTTTAAGATATTTTTTGGTATATTAAAAGTTCAAAATTCTTACAACATTAAAAATACTAAATATTTTTAATATTTTAAGAGTTTTTGGCCCTTTTTATAGTAGATATGCCAGCAATAAAATAATAAAATTAATACTTAAACAGAAATTTAACAAAACTTGGCACCTTTATATAGCAATTGATCTGCAAAACGCTTCTAAATTCAAGTAACCAAAAACATTTAATATAAAACTTTACAGCCTAATTTAGGCATCCTCAATATCAAAAACAAACATATACTTTTTACAATTCAAACTTACAATTTTAAACATTTCAAAATTTCAACATTTTAATATATTATGAATATGTACTAAATTTTGTAAAATGTGTTAAGAACCTTTAATGATTGGGCTTGTCAGCCTGAAAGTACTTAGATTAGAAGTTTTTATGTAACTAAAATACTCATAGAAAAGTAAAGATCTGACTTGTTAATTTAACAAGGAATGACTTGTAAAATTTGAATATATTTAAGATTATTTTAAATAGATAAGAAAAAACAATAAAACTTCTTAATCTTACAATTTTAAAAGTAAATAAATAAAGAATAATATAACTATTGATAAAATCAAATTCAACATATAGTAAAAAGTGAACAATACTGCTGGATTTTAAATAATGATGTTAATTTTTTAATGTTTATAATGCATAAATTTTGATTAAGTGTGAACTGTAAAAAGTGTTCTATTCCATTGATGTGTTGAATACTGACAAAAAAACTTAAATTAGATTGAAAATGCTTCATATTAAATATTTTGGATCAACTAAATATACAAGTGTTTTATGGGTTAATTAATACTTAAATAATAATATTAATTTTAAATACAGTGATACCCTGAATTTACGCGATAGGTGGGACCGAGCGATAACCGTGTAAGTCGGGGTATAATTTCGCAATTTGTGTAAAATTCAAGTTGGAGGTATGTAAGCTAATAAATGTTCTCGTTAATCTTATCTCATCATTTGATTTTTTCACAGTTACAAGAAATCACCACATAGAGTCTCTCAAGTCTCCGTAGATATAAAATACACTGAAATAAATAACACAAAATAAATTGTAAGTATGCGACGCGTCCGAACAATAGTGTGGGGAGTGAGTAATCAAGAGTTGCCTGGCGCTCAAACAAAAGACGATTCGACGAGATTTGAAAATCGCATAACTCCAGGTTCGCGTAAGTCCAGGTATTACTGTATTAAAATTTGTCTAATATATAAAAAAAAGTTATTTACCTCTTTTTACAATTATTTTATTTGTACATTTTGTACATCCACCTTCTAAAGGTTGGCTTGTATAAAAATTTTCACAACACATCAAATCTTCAAACAAATTTTCCAAAAAATTCCAGAACATGGATACTTTATCAACAATAGGCAGTTTGCATGTATTTGTTTTACTATCAAAATTTGCTGAAAACAAAATTAAATTAATTTAATCATTCAAAACATTCATTCCTGTCAGTCTTATTATAAATTAAAACATTGTTTTTAAACATTCTTATGATTAGTTAATAGAAAAATTTATAACTTTTCAAAATTGTAATTGTAACCAATTTTATTACTATAAACTCATATTATTTAAGCCACATTATTTATAAAATTAACCAAACTTTGTATTTAAAAATAATAAAATAGCCTACATTGAAAAATAAACAGATTTTAACAAAATCAAAATTTTCTAAAATATATTCATGTTATTCATAACAAACACATTAAAAAATTTTTAATGAAAAAATTAATCAAAGATACACTTTCAGTTTTCTTGCTGTCATGTTTATCTCCAGCTTATGTGTAAAAACTAAAATATGCAAAATTAGGAATAGGTAATATTTTTAACCTATTCCTATTTTTGTAAACTAATATCTCTTAAGCAAATATTTTAAAATATCATTTTCTCATTAATCATAACTTTAAATATTTTAAAATAAAATTTTGAATTTTATTTAAAGAATTCATTATTTATGATATAACAAACAAAAATTTTTATCCTGACAGTATTATAATAACTATAAACATTAAAATCTATATAAGCTTTCTGCTATTATTTCAAGTATTTAAAAAAATCCTATGTTATTGAAAATATGTAACTACATAGAAAGATATACTAAACATATAATTCTTACCCTTCTAAGATAAAATTAATATTTACTTTCAGCAAACATTGAGAAACAGAAAGTCAATAATTTGGTCAATTAAATTTTGGTCAACATTATTACAAATTAAAACAATTATTATAATCTCAATTTTTGGTTAATTATATCATTAGCAAGTTGCCAATAATTTTGGATTATTTACAAAGAAACACTGAAAAAAAAAAACATATATATATATCTTACTAGTTAATTGCCTGAAGTTCACTTACCTATTTTACTACATTTACAAAGAAAACAAGTCATTTTCATTCATTTTGTTTTATTCTTTCCACCCTATGGACACTAAGAGGAACTTTTTTTTTTTATCAAGCCCATGGTGAGTTTGACTAGGTTCATGATGGATTGACCGGATGGCGAGGGACAGGGCCTGATGTATCTGGGATGAACTGCCCCCTGAAAAATTCTTGGGTTTTTTTTTTACCCCTCTGGATTTATTTCTGGATCCCTAGATTGGTAGGCTGACAGCTCAACCACTTGGCCATCCACCATCCATTTCTGTTCATTAGAAATTTCATCATGCATAATAAAAGTATGAAAGTAAATATTTGTATTTTGGCTGTAAGACCACCATTTAACACCAGACTTATTATACCAAGACAAAAGGATACATAGATTAAAAGGAAAACAAACTCATATTTTCTTTCCTATGTATATATTTCATTGTAGGATGCACTGCAAAGCAAATCCCTTGTCAGTCATTACATAAATGCTGAAGTCCAAAATTAAAACTGTAATAGGTAACGTGTAATAAAATGAACACCATACATAATTAAATTTTCCAGCATGAAGAGTTTGTGTAACAAACGTTTGTTACACAAACTGTTCGTGTTGGAAAATTACAGTCGACCCCCCTATAATTACGATTCCTATAAAACTACGAAAAAATATACGTATTTTGGAAATGTTGAGTTGGATTAGTGTAGAATCGATTAATTTTATGGAAGAAAACCTTTCAATCAGCCGTAGTCCGTAAACTTGACACGTGTCGGGCTGTGATTGGAACGACTTGTAAGAAATCGGATTCCTAATAAATTGGAACGTATCTATATCTTATAGGGGGGTCGACTGTATGTATGGTGTTTCTTTTATTACAAGCCATTACATAGAATGAATTACAAAAAGGGGTGAACATCTGTAAGTGATACAGTATTTTTCATTGTTTTAATTTGTAATGAAAAATACTGTATCATTTAAAGATGTTCACCCCTTTCTGTAATTCATTCTATGTAATGGCTGACAAGGGACTTGCTCTGAAATGCATTCCACAATAAAATACATACATAGGAAGAAAAGATAAGTTCATTTTCCTTTTAATCTATGTGTCTCTTTGCTTTGATGTAATAAGTCTGATATTAAATGGCAATCTTAGAGCCAAAATACAAATGATATTGAACAATCAAACAAGAAGCAGTTTGAAAATATTATGAAAGTAAAATTTATTTAAAATGAAATAGAGTAAGGTCTAGGCCCATTATGAAATTGATAAATTAAAAAATCATAAAATATAAAAAGCAGATAAATTTAGTTAATGATGATAAAATAATAAATAATACAATACAAATGTTTGCAGAAACAGTTAAAACTCTCACTTTCTAATAACAGCTGTTTATAACAAGCAGATTTAAGTGGCACCATACATTAAAAATTATTGTGAGATCGAGCACTTGATTTTGTGTGGATTTAAAGAAAAGGTTAAGCCTAATTCTCTGTTGTGATTGTTAAGAAAACATCACGATGAAAAAGGATTGAATGTCATCTTTCTCATCAACAACCACTAAGAAAGGTTAAAAATTTACAGTTAAAGGGATGAGAATGTCAACATTAACCCACATAAACAGGATGAATCTAATGTCGTACAAACCAAAGACTACATTCTATGTCCTGTTTCGACAACTTCTCTTTGTCTCCTTAGACCACCTCTGACCAACACCTGTAAATTCAACCTTCGTCTTCACCAACATTTGATCACCTGATCATTTTCCTAGGCCATAAATCAAATATAAGAACGAAGCACCTGCATTTTGGAGTGTTTGTCTCCAGGAATCAAGAAGAGCTTTATTTCACCAGCCGCTCGTCGGCCATACAAAGTGGACTCTAGTGGACTTCAGCAGACGGCATACACTGGTAAATATCTTTCGCCACCCTGTTCCCAGTGGACATTCCCCAAGACCATCTGGAAGGACGTCTCTGGCTCCAGCCTCACCACAGCCATACAAGACTGGACAGCTACCAGCCTCTCCATACACAACATACAGACCCAGGTCTCATACACCAGAGGGACTCCACCCAAGGTTCTAACTCATCATATCCCAGAATAAACACTCTCCTGGAAATGACCTGCCACAGCTTCCATTCAGCTCTCAATCTCAATAAGAAGACCAACGAACGATCAGACACCACAAGAGGTCAAAGAATCTGGTACACTCAGAGGTATTTTGTTAGACTTATGTAAACTTCCTCTCTTGAGCGGTATATATAGAAATATAAGAACAGGACAAATGGCCTGAGCAATATACTCATTTAATAACCCTTTTGTTGTGTAGCTTTAATAGTATATTGTAACCTTAGATATTGCTAGATATTAAACAACTATCAACTTACTGACTTCTCCATGATAATTTAAGACCCTCCTATTTCAAGCCATCCAGTGACACCGAGATCGGTTTTACCAACCTGAGGCCAATCAAGGGTTAGGAACCCTCTACCTGTGGCTAATCTCACATTATATATATTGGGTTGTTTGGAAAGTAATTTTGTTCTTTTTTTTTACCACTAGACAGATTAGTCGTATTTTTCCCGCCATTTTCATTCTAAACCATATTATTATTATTATATATTTTGATGGCTAGCTAAAATGCTAATTTTTAATTAACTAATTAACAAAATATTTTACAATTAAGCCTTAAAATAGGCTTATTTGTAAAAAATTTTGTTTGATTTTGTGCAATTGTTATTTTTTGTGTCCCATCAAATATGGAAGATCGAAAGCAACATTTTCGGCATACAGTCGACCCCCCTATAAGATATAGATACGTTCCAATTTATTAGGAATCCGATTTCTTACAAGTCGTTCCAATCACAGCCCGACACGTGTCAAGTTTACGGACTAAGGCTGATTGAAAGGTTTTCTTCCATAAAATTAATCGATTCTACACTAATCCGACTCAACATTTCCAAAATACGTATATTTTTTCGTAGTTTTATAGGAATCGTAATTATAGGG